CATAATTATTTTCACAATTGTGTTGGTTTAAGGATATGAGTTAGGAAGTCACCAGACCTACCAGAATGCTTTTCAAAGATTTATTACAAACAATGTGACAATAATGTGACATACAACGTTGTAGATCAATTTGCCTAATAACATGTATTTTTGCCTCATCATGTGTATTTTGTACCTCATTGACACAGAACAAATGTACATGCATATTCACTGGGCAAATTGCTATGCAAATGTTTTTAATAGATGCATCCCTATGTGTCTGTTCAAGCACTAGCATTTAAGGTTGCATTCAAGGATTTGTTAATCACTCAAATGCATCCTTGGAGTGCTGGTGACTTCTTAGCTCAAACCTCTTCCATGGTGCATTGCTCGTTTGAAGGTTAAGATGGGGATAAGGTTAAGCTTACAGGTTTGTTCTGATTACATTTCTAATACAACATATTACATTTATAATTTCCCATCAATTATTTTTTAACACACCATTGAAAGAAGATGGCTTAGTTTTTATATTGGTAACTCTGAACAAGTCACTGTGGGGGAGATTTATTAAAATTGGTGCACTCAGAATCTGGTGCATCTGTGCATGGTAGCCAATCAGCTTCAACATTCAGCTGGTTCAATTAAGCTTTGACAATCAAGCCTGGAAGCTGATTGGTTTCTATGCAGAGCTGCACCAGATTGAGCACCATGCAGTTTTAGGTCTCTTTCACATGGACGTTCAGTCTAGATCACAATGGGCAAACTACGGCCCGGCGGACCTTTTAATCCGGCCCGCGGAGCTAGACTCCCGCTAGGCTCCTCTCACAGTCCGCCCTGAAGACCGGTGTAGCATGAAAATCTGTCTCCTATAAGGATCTGTCCCCCTCGATGTATCTGCGCATGTGCCGGAGATCGCCGATGCCTGAAACTGGCACATGCGCAGATACGTCGAGGGGGACAGATCCTCATAGGAGACAGATTTTCATGCTACACCGGAACGGCGCGGGAACAAGGCGAGAGGAACGCGCGGAGCAAAGGTAAGTGAATTGACACAGGGGGGACTTGGGGACTTAATATGGGGGGTGAATTAATATGGGGAATGAATTACTATAGGGGGGGGTGAATTACTATATGGGGGATGAATTACTATAGGGGGGATGAATTACTATGGGGGATGAATTACTATGGGGGATGAATTACTATATGGGGGATGAATTACTATGGGGGATGAATTACTATATGGGGGATGAATTACTATATAGGGGATGAATTACTATATGGGGGATGAATTACTATGGGGGATGAATTACTATATGGGGGATGAATTACTATGGGGGATGAATTACTATATGGGGGATGAATTACTATGGGGGATGAATTACTATGGGGGATGAATTACTATATGGGGGATGAATTACTATGGGGGATGAATTACTATATGGGGGATGAATTACTATGGGGGATGAATTACTATATGGGGGATGAATTACTATATGGGGGATGAATTACTATGGGGGATTAATTACTATATGGGGGATTAATTACTATGCTTACTATGGGGGAATATTACTATACTTATTATGGATGACACATACACATCATTCATCTACTCTTGGTCCGGCCCCCGGGTCCAATATATGAACCCATTGCGGCCCTCAAGTCAAAAAGTTTGCCCACCCCTGGTCTAGATCCTTGTGTCAGTTTTTCAGATGGATCCAGACTGAACCACAATGTATGTCTATGGGTGGGTAGATATAACCTGATGATCATCAGTTTACATCTGCCTACATCCATTTCAGTTCAGGTCCATTTTTTTTAAAAAGAAAAGCCAATGTCTAGATCAGTTGAAACGGAACAGGACGGAATGGATGTATACTGATGTAAACTGAATAGAACTGAACTGATATAAACTGAACTGAACTGAACTAATATAAACTGACCTGAACTCAACTGAAGTGCAAACTGATGTAAACTGACCTGAACTGAACTGAAGATGAAGGTGCAAGCTGAATCCGTTTGTTCTTTGAAAAAACGTGACTGAAAGGTTGACGTCCATGTGAAAGAGGCATTAGTAAATAACCCCTGTAATTTTTAACATTCCTGGTGACTTTGGGATATGAAAACATTGGCTGAAAGTGTAGAACAAAGTATGGCTGTTACTTTTGACTCCTATCCTGTGAGAAGTATAATACAGTATGGAATACAGTTTCTATGGACCATAATTAGAAAGTGGCAAAGTAGCAATTAGACAATCATCTGCCAATTTTTAACACTGGACATCTACTGGAACACTAGACAGATTAAGTTTCTTTCACATGATTAGCTAGATAACCAGATTTTCCACTATTTAATGGGAAATCCATGTCTCGGCATTTGTCTGATTAGAAAATTATACAACTGCTGGTCCCAAACTTTATAAGGGATCTGTCCATCCAAAAATGATATTTTAGTTCTAGTCAGAGTCTGGTGTGCTCAGTCAGCCTTTGGTTTTTATATGTATTGAAAACACCAACTGTAAGATCTTCTTGCCATAACGTCTGAATTTGTTCCTTTCCACCTCTGAGTTTGGGTATTTCTGCCCACCTTTGGGTGTTCTAGCTCCTCCTGTTGTATTCTCCATAAAATTAAACACATTACTAAGTTAACTGAGAGAGGAATCCCACATAATGGCCACAGTAGGTGTGATGATCCAGAAACTCAAGTGTACAATTCCCCCAAAAGATATAAAAATCATTTCAAGTGTATCTATTGTTAAAATTTAAAATCATATATTTATTTCCACATTATATTTCAATTATTTCAAGCCTACTCATATTAATCTGAACAATCTTGAAGTTTGTAAACCTATTTTGTGAAGATGCCCACACATTTACTGTGACCTGTACTCACTATGCCCTCTTAGTTGGCACTGCTGTATCACACATTTTACAGTGCTTGTCTTCTGAACTACAAAGGTATTGAGATGAAAAGTATTAGAAGGCAGTACAGGAATCACAGTGTGCAGGCAGTATAGTAGCATGGAATATGTAGTCCTTAGAAATTGATAGCAAACAGCAGAATAGGAGAAGCAAAGCATGCATGGAATCCATTTATTTGTTGAAACAGATGGGCAGCAGACAGGCAGCACTCACAACATGGAAATATATTTTTCAGGTAATATTTTACTGGATAGTCAAAAACCCTTTATATACACTCAACCTCTCCCTTGAAAAGTTTTTAATTGAGGCCAAAAATGATGATCAGTGAGACTGATTTCACAGACATGTCTTTGGATTTGACCCAAAACTTACTGTTTGTACAGTAAGTATGTCTTCAGGCTCATGCCATAATATTGTAGCATTTATAAACCAGAGAGCTGGGAGCAGGACTGACCATTTGGAAACTCGGGCACTGCCCAAGGGCCCAGGGTCAGTAGGGGGCCCCATGAGATGCCCCTGGTACCTTTTTCATAGGCTTTTTTGAGTTTGGGCAAGGACACAGGGGCCCCATGATCCCCTATTGCCCTGGGGCCCCATGAGTTGTCAGTTCGCCCCTGGCTGGGAGTTCAAAGAACATGAAATGCCTTATTGTATACATACACACTAGAGAAAATCTTACAATTTACTGGGGGTTTCCAGTTTCTCAGTCATGTCTAGTAATCACATGAGCAAGAACAAGTGGAATCATTTTCCAATTTCAAAAGTTCCAAGAATGGTACATTTTCATGGGAACCAGTTATAAGAATCAGTTCCATGCCCCTCATGTTTTACAGTCAGTGAATTTATCTCCAAGCCACCCCTCTATCAAACTGGCTTAAAATTTCTCTATTATTTGTGTTATCTATTCTTAGTGAGACACAATCTACAATCAGCTTTATTAAATGTAACACCCTCCTAGGTAGGTGCTAGGATTTATATAGTTAGGATAAGTATAGCTGTGTTTCTCTGCTTAGCAGAGAGACTGTTAGGAAAATCGAATTGGGCTCTCTGCGTAACAGAGTGCTGTGATGGATTAGTCAGGTCTGCTGATGATGCTCTAGTGCTGCTAAGTTTGCCTTGAGTTCTGCCTGACTTCAGGAAGCTATGAGAGGCTTCCAGAACCTGGGAAGGATCTAGGCAAATGAGCAGCATGAATATAGATACAGCCCTGGCCAGTTGCAGGAGAGGATGGCCCCATTGCACACTGGGAGTGGTATTTATGTTCTGTGAGCACATGGGTTTACCATCTTTCCCTGGGGAGGATTGCACTAAGCCAGGTTGTAGGCAGGTTTGCCTTGCCTGACACTTGCTACCATGTGGGCCTCAGGTGGGCGACCTGAGGGCCTGAAGTTAGGAAGAGTGACCCTGGTTCTACAGTAAACTGACTGAGGAGAGCTGTCTGCCAAAGATCTGTCTGGTATCACTGGAGAGAGAGTCGCTTGGAAGATTGGAGGGAGGCTGCCATTCTGTCCTTGGACTTGTCAGTACAGACACTGAGAGACCTTGGGGACTCTGTGTGCGTTGCTATCCTTCTGATGCATGATACTCAGCGTGGGTCTGAGAAAAAGGGACGGTGGCTGGTGTTCGAAAGAGCTTGTACAACCATTGCAACTGCAAAGGACTTTGCTCAGTTCTATTACTTTTGGGTTACCACAGTCTCCCGTAACAGGCCTGTACCTGAGGAGCTCAGCCCTGCAAATACTACTACCATTAAAGGGACTTAGCTCGCTCCTAAGATATTTGTTACTTGCAAATTAAAGAGAAGTCTGCTATCGGCTCTCAGCAAGGACTTCAAAAGTGCTCATCTAAGAGATCAGCTAGATGTCCTCAGTGTGAATAGTTCTAATTTTGCAGTATCCTACTAAATTCCCCATCCCTATCCCCAGTTTAACAATAAAACTCCAAAAACAAACATTCCCTAGACTGGTCATTGAAGACGACTGAAAGAGTGTGTGTACCTGGCTGTGGGGTGAAATAAGGGGAAACCTGAGCAATAATACCAGCTGCTCCTCCTGGCGTAGCGCTACATAAACATCTGATATTATTTTATTTCCTTACTTTTCAGATCCACACCATTTTTATTGTCACCCCACAGCCTTGCTGTCACTGGTTGTTATTTTGAAGGCAGTTGAAATTGCTGTGATATTTATATTAGGTAATGTATAATATCAATTAAACTATGTAGCATTTAGTAGGCAGCATTTATTCTCTGTACACATTATAAACTTACTATTTTTCTTCTATATTATATTTTTATTGTACAGTATTATAAGTAAAAGAAATGAAGTAAGAATTGGAAGGGGAGAACATGTATATTGATTAAGGTTAAGTTCACTGTGACGGAACCGCCTGTCACCCCGATTGGGTGAGTCTATCAGAGGACTGCTTCCTTGCCACTAGGACAAAGGACCAAAGTATTATAGCTGGGCATCACACCAAAGACTAGGCAACACTAGCTTAGGTGCAAAAACTGGAACTCTTTTTTGAATAGAAATACAGGTTTTTATATACTTCAGAAACAGGGGCAGTCCCTACATGAACAATAAAACACACGTTACACATTGGGATAAACATCCCACACTGATTAGGTAAGGGCTTGATCGCATTATCCTAAACAGTGCAAACAGTAAACAGTACAACCAACAGCTAATCGTGATCTAATTAACATTAAAGCAGAGTTCCAGTCATTTTTTTTCTTTTTTTTTTTAAAGCACCTTTGTGACAGTCGCAGTTTATGCAATGCAAGTGGGCATAAGCTGCATATGTAATTGTTTGTATTCCTTGTGTTTTCAAAGATACTCACTGGCCCCCTCATGATCCTGTGTTCTTCCATCTTCACTGTGGACATCTGAAACCTGGCCGCACTTTCTTCCGGGATATGGTGCAGCTGGCTACCCAGCCAGCACCTCCTGATTTTGCGCCTGTGCAATGTGAAGAAAGCGTGGTAGACTCATTGCAGAGTGGGGGATGCCCATTGACTTCTGGGATTGATGACACATACATCCCAGGAACCAACAGGCAGGAGGATGTGATGTACCTTGCCACGGCGAGGAACATCGGAAGTGCAGTGCTTCAAGTAGTCTAAAGGTATTAAACCTTTAGGAGGAAAAGAATGTACCAAACATTGATGGGACAGCAGGAAGCAATACATGGGGCCAAACTTTAAAAATTGGGTGGAACTCCACTTTAAGCTAACCAACAGCCAAGCACCCAGACAAGCCAGGGAACACACCCCAGACAGCCCAGCACCTACAACTCTCAATACACCAAGTCCATTACACATGCTGTCTTTCAGGTGTTTGCTTTCACTTGTATAATCTGCCCATCAAAAGGCAAAACTCATACAATATTCCAACAGTCTGAAAAAGTGGAATTAATTTATCTTCATAGATTTCTTGAGGGAGATTGTTGACAAATATTTCTGTCCCATGTAGAGGAGCTTCTTCAACCAAGTCTGCAAGAGGGCCCCATATTACCTTTGACCATTAACCTGTACAAGGTTAATATTATACCTTTCAATCCACTCCAGAAGGGAACCTATACTGTCTTTACTCTCAGCGTTCATCATCATCATTATCCATCATTAAAGATTGATCTGCTGTCTCCAAGGGCCATAATCAGTGGGTAGAAGGCTAGTCTCTAGCCCTTCCAAAAACCTCTGTCCTGGTTGGTTCTGTCACATTCACCTTAATAAAACAAAAATTAAAATAAATACACATCTTTTTGTAGGTAAAAAAATGTGCATTTATTATTTTTCATACTATGCATTACCTGCAAAACATTCTACTGATCTACTGATCATGGGTGCAATGCAGGACTCCTGCAGACTGCTGGTGTAGCTGTCTGCCTGTGCTTGCTAACATGTTACAGGTTCCACTCTAAAAACAAGAACATGGAACATGTTCCCAAAGGTGAACTTATCCTTTAATACAGTTAGTTCATACACTCTAAACATTACATTTACAGGACTATAAGTTGTCCTTTAATAGAAAAAGGGACTGGTAATGTTGAATAATGACAGCAGGTTTACAGTGGAAGTCAAGTTATAAAACAGTTTTCACAAATGAGTTAACATATATGTGTGTTTATATATTACTGTTAGTTTGGAAAATCCCCTGTGAAACTCTTCAGGACTCTTCAGGTCCATCCTTGGCAAACAGCACCAACAGAGCTCCTTCACCTATCCAGAAACACTACTATGATGCTTTTGACATGATCACAGACCTATGCGCTGCCACAGGTAAGGTAATCACCTGGCTTTACCTAAATATAATCAGTGGAGCAGCAGATTAATGCCTATACTGAAAATGGAACTACACTGCATCTGAGTACAACAAGCAAACAAACAAAAAAAAAAAAAATGCTGGTTAATTCATTTTTACTATTCAAAGCAAATTTCCCCATCCATCCATGTCTCCATTCTTTATTTTGCTGAAAAATCACTTTGAGAGACACCCCCCAGCACTTCTGGCTGTGACCACGTTGAGTAAGGACAGATGATCCGTGTAGCATTTACTTTCTGGAATCCATCTGTGTAATGAACCCCAGACACTCACAAGCTGCTTCTCAGGCTCTGGAACACGAGACCAGTGAATCTGGCTATTGTTACCCCAAGATCCAGACGACACCAGATTTGAAGTAAACCAGGAGGTAGACTAGTTTATTTGAACACAGATACAAGATATATACACTCAGGGGACAATCCCCCTCCCTGCATAATAACACAGGATGGAGCAATCTACATTTAGTAACAAGAGACACGCAGGTCTTCAAACTTCCCACTGGCAGACAGTCCCATCAGGAGGGAGGGCTGCTGGAGACACCCCCCCCACTAAGCTAATACACATAAACACATAGATCCCATATTAGTTTGCTTCCAAGCCAGACAAGCAATAGAACAATGGGATGCAGCCACATAACATTAAACAATCAACAACCCCCACCCCACCTATCTCCTAAACATGTCTACACAGTTTGAGACAAAGCCCACACAATATTAGGACAGATCAACCTGTACCCCTAGCAGGCACAGGGTGATTTACACATTAGAGGGATATGGGGAGCTGAGACAGGGGTCTCCCCACCTCTCCAAAGTGAGCTGGGTTCCATGGGCCCCCCACCCAAAGTGACTCTCATCACAATCTGCCCTTAGCTCAGGTATGCAGGCAGGAGTGCTTAGATGAGACAAAGCCCCCTCTCCTCCTGAATACTCCTGTGATGTATGCAGGGGTGGACTGACAACTCATGGGGCCCCCGGACAATAGGGGATCATGGAGCCCCTGTGTCCTTGCCCAAACTCAAAAAAGCCTATGAAAAAAGTACCAGGGGCATCTCATGGGGCCCCCTACTGACCCCGGGCCCTCGGGTAGTGCCCGAGTTTCCAAACGGTCAGTCTGCCCCTGGATGTATGACATAATTTGCTTAGGCTTAGAAACAAGGAAGTAAATGAATAAATGTGAAAAAAAAAAAGTTTAAAAAACAAGTATGTATAATATACTTTTCTATCTAGGATTAAAAACAGTGTTGATTGAAAGAGTGAAGTTCTAATTACATATCTGTATAAACTAATTAGAATTTCTTTAGATTACTCCAGAGTGTAGCCATATCTCCCATCTGTCCCCTCGTTTGGAGGGACTGTCCTTCTTTTGAGACCAAATCCCTTAGTCCCTTTTTTTTCATCTAATGTGTACATCTTTATACAAAATACAAAACCTTTTGTACTTTATAGAAAACCAAAAATGTTTTGCCGCACTAAACTTTTTATCCAACCTCAATATACTGCATTTGTTATTTTGAATAGCCAATAAAAAGGAAAATAGAGGTCAAAAAAGCACTTGCATGGTTTAGCCAATATTCTTCTTCACATTACATCTTTGTGGTCCATGTAACAGGGCCATACCAGGGATGTCTCCATTGTGTACATACTGTGTAATAAAAGGTGTCCCTCTTTACCATTTCAGAAATTGGGGAGGTATGGCTTAACCCTTATGATGTGTGTGTTTGTTAGGCCTTTAAGTAATCTAACAAATAAAATAAAATATGTTTAATTTTTATTTTTGAACAGAGCAGAGAAGGGTTAGAGCCTCTGCTAGGTTTTTTTTTTGTTGTTTCTGTTACTATTAGGGAGATTTCCCCCCTCTTATGATCAGGATAGGATGCGTTGAAAGATCTATTTTAAGGGGACACAGACAACAGCAAAGACTAATTTTTAGTATAATGAGGAAGCGTTAAAAGTTTTTATTACTGTTTGTATCTTCCTGTTTTGCTAACAACTAGCTGGTTTCCTCTCCTGGTGCCAAAGGGACAGGGAGAGGAGTAGTCTCAAGCAAAACTAAAAGTCTGATAAAATTGGACTCTTCTTCATTCAATCCAAAAAAAAAAAATGTCTGAAGTTGAGACCAGGGTTGCCAACCATCAATAAATTTACAGACAGTTTGTAAAAATCAATGATTTTTACAATTGTCTGTAAATATTAGGGACTGATAATTTGTCAAGCTGCGTTGACAGTTGTAAGCGTAAACTAGTCAAATTACTTGTTATGGGTATTGTCAGTGTTTCCATATTGTGTTTATATTGTTTAAACACTGATTGCCTTAGTTTTTAATGTCATTTTTCAGGTTCTCAGTAAAACAATGTGCTTTGTTAGTAAATTTTCCATGGTTTGTCAGTAAGAAATGCTGCAGGAGGTTGGCAACACCGGTTGAGACTGAAAATCTACAATTCAAAAGTAGAAAGATTAGACATTCCATTAGGTCCATTTATACCTTTACATGCACATTGAACATGTGTGGGTGTGAACTAACCTTTTTCTTTATAGTGACACTACAACATCAACTGTATGCAAAGAACACTTGTAAAGAAAATTGACAGGGTCACTTTAAAAACACAATAAACCGCAGTGCATAGACATGAACCAGCTGCATAGGAAAGATAAGGAATTGTACCAAAAGTAATGCAGTAAAATCCATGAGCTTTTCTGTGAATAGACCCTAAACATATGCTGATATACTAAATGGATTGACTTATTTCTACTTTCCTCAATGACAGGCAAGGTGTGCGAGCTATGTCCTTTGAACTGGATAGCATTTAGAGGTAAATGTTATTTCTTTTCGGAAGACAGAAATAACTGGTCTTCAAGCAGAGAGAACTGTCAAATCAGAAACGCGGACCTGCTATGCATGGAAGACTCTGCAGAAGAGGTTTGATATGACAAATAATTAAGGGTCAGGAGCACCTTTGTCTTTCAATAGCATTCTATAGGCCCCTGTGGCGTGGGGGCCTCAAGTGTCCCTATGGCAGTTGTTGTGCAGTGATCGGGGACTGAGACAGTAGTCTGTGTTTCAGTGCTTGAAAAGAAAACTGACTTCTAGCAGTTAAATGGTTTGGTTTATTTTCTTTGCATTGTGTTACATTTTTTGGTGCTGCCCATCACTTTTCTCTTTTTATTTCCATATCTATAATAAAATACAAATTATTTAAAGTATATAATATATAATAAAACTGTGATATTTTAATCATAAAATCCCCTTTTATTTGGGCATGTACAATACAAGATTTTTCTTTCCCAGCACCATCCACCTAGAAATCCTACCTACTGTATATGAGAAACAAGGACTTTAAATGAAGTCCTTGTTTCTCATATACAGTAGGTAGGATTTCTAGGTGGATGGTGCTCCAAGGAAAGAAGATATTTGATATTTTTGATTCCATCAAATATATCTACCATCTCCTGTGGCATGTCTGCTGTCTCTGACCATCTCTTGTAGCATGTATATACCCCGTTTCCCCTAAAATAAGACCTACCCCGAAAATAAGACCTAGTGCTATTTTTGGGAATTGCTAAAGTACAAGACCTACCCCGAAAATAAGACCTAGTTATGATCAGGGCTTTTTTTCAGCTAGAACATGGCGAAACGCCATTCCGCCACCTCCGGAACTGGCGCTGTGCACACCCATATCTACTGTCTCTTATAAACACAGAAGCATGGCTGAAGTGACAGCACCATCCGCTCCCACAGAAACTCCCTACCTCTGTACTCAATGTGGGACAGGGAAGGAACAGATATCTGTGGGTGCAGTATGCAGTGTGTTTAGGGGTGGGGCATCTCCTCCTGCAGCCTAATGTATGGAAGCCTATGCCCCAGGGGTGATCACCGGCCAGTGGGGAAGAGGCGGAGCGGTGAGTAAGTGCTCTTGGTGCACTGTGTGGGAAGATAGGACCCGATACGGGAGTTACTTTAGAGAGGGGCCGGCTGCTGACAGCTGTGCTTTGCAAAGCTAGCTAACCATATGAGGGCAGTGGAGGGGGGGGATGTGCAAAGGCGAGCTGCAGTCAGGTGTTGCAGAGGTATATTGAGTCAAGTGAGTTACAGACAGGGTGCATAGGTGAGCTGCGGCTGGGGGGGGGGGGGTGCAGAGGTGAGCTGAGTTGCAACCCACCTTTGCACCTCCCAGCCACAGCTCAGCTCTGCACCCCCTGGCCACAGCTCACCTCTGCATTCCCCGTCTACAACTCACCCCTTCACCCTGTCTGTGGCTCATATCTACACCCTGTCTGAAACACACCTGTCAAATCACCCCTGCAACACCTGACTGCAGCTCACAACTGTCATCAACTGGGCCTCTCCATAGTAACCCTCATCCACAACTGCCTGCATCTCACCTCTGCACCCCCTGTCCACACCTGGAAAAATAAGACCTACCCCGAAAATAAGACCTAGTGTGTTTTTTTTAAGCCAAAAAAAATATAAGACAGTGTCTTATTTTTGCGAAAACACGGTAGTCGCTGACCATCTCGTGTAGCATGCCCATAGTATCTTAACATCTCTTGTGGCATGACCATAGTCTATGACAATCTTCTATTGCATGTATGCAGTCTATAACAGCTGTTTGCGTCATTATATCCAGGGTAGAGAAGCACTCATCACCCAGAGTTTGGTATGGGCATGAAAAAAAAACAATCAGTAATATGACTCAATACAGATTGCACATAATATAGCTCCAAATGTGGAAGACCCGCTCTACCTTCTAGCTTTTGCTTCACCAGATTGTCATGTCTCAGATGAGCTGAGGATTGTTGCCAAAGATAGATAAGTAAGACATATACTTGTTGGTATGCAGACGTGTGTCTCTGTCAACTCTGCTGTTTTATGACATGCTCTTTATATGTGCTGGATTTGATAAATTCCTCAGCAATGTCATGTCTTCTTTACCTATTACCAAAGAATTATATACAGTGTGTCATTGATGTGTTTCTTTACAGATATTCATTTCTACCCAAGTTGCTTTGAAGAATGGACACTTTTGGGTTGGTCTTAGGAAACACACCACAGAGTGGATTTGGGAGACTGGTGGAAAATACCAGAAACAAACGTAAGTTCATTGGATGCTAGGGCAAATTCATAAATAAGGCAGGTAATACAGGATTTCATGAAACACAAGAGATTGGACTGTCCTTAAAGTGCATAGCAGCAATTTGGACTGCTTATGCTCCTGCAGTTTTTGATACCTTATTTGCTGATATTTTCCAGCATGCCAAATAGTATTCACACAAACATAGCAGCCTTGTGTTATATCTTCAGCATTTACCAATTTCAGTATGATATGCTCAGTAAGGGAAAGAAAAAGCCAGAAAAGTGTAGAAGTCTTTTTACCACTTTGGGGAGTTTTCCATGCACTTTCTATTGTGTTGACTCGCATGAAATAGACAAAGAACCCCCACTGCCCTCCGAACAGGACCTGTCCCATCAAGAGGCACTGGCCGAATGACAAGTAAACATGGGGGTGTGGCAGGAGGAAGGAGTTAGGAGTGCTAGCAGGGGACTCGAAAAGAGGAGGATTGGGGCTTCACTGTGCTAAACCACTGCACAGAGCAAGTAAATGTGACATGTTTGTTATTTAATAAAAAAAAAAAAATTGCCTTTACAATTACGACCAGCTATTCACGATGAATTTGGATCATTTGTTATGTTTCTGAACAAATTCGAAAATTGAATCAATTTCCCCATGGCCCTGAACTACTATTGCATCATGTATCATCATCCGAATGAAACAAATGCATTTGTTATTTTTTTTATAACTTTTCTTGGATTGATTGCCATTTGTTTCTATGTCTATTCGGAAATTTGGATACATCCGAATCTCCGAAAATTAGATTTTCATCCAAAAACTAATCAAAATGAAAAAAATTGCAGATGTCAATTGATAAAGGAATCATAAAAAACCATGTTAATGAGGACAGTAAATACTTACCTTTCCCATTGCCTGTGCCACAGAAAGAGGCTCTATTCATGAGCAATTGCCTTCCCAAAGTTTTCTTTTTAAATCATCTGTCAACTTCTTGATCAGTGCTGAGTGGTTCCTCCATCTGGCCTTCACATCATTACAGAGCACAATAGTGACATGGAGATCAGCTGGAGGAACCAATAAGTGCTGCTGGGGACAAGGAAAGCAACACTCATGGGCAATCCCTCTTGAATCGAGTGACCTTGATGGTGTGGGGAGCTGTAAAGGTGAGTATTTACTATCTTTCACAGGTAGTATGATTTTTAGGACTTTTTATGAAAGAGTTGCTTTTTTCATTAACTGTTGAATGTGATTCATAACTATCCTTTATTTTATTCACTTTTATCAAGATCTATCAGATCCAGTGAACACAAGTGTGCCACCTTTGGAAGAGACATGTCACCTGAAAGCTGCTATAACCCCAACAAATGGATATGTGAAAAGAACATGACTCGCTATTTAACATAAAATAACTGTTTTCAGTTTCCTTTCCTTTTCCTGTTTTTCCTGTTTTTAGTATTCATGGGGAAGTGCTCTCACAAGGAGAACTGTTTAAAAAATTGTAACCTTGATAACTGTCAGCAATAAAAGCACCAATAATGTAATGAATGTGTTATTGTAATTTTCTTCTTAAAATTACATACAGTACACGGTAATAGGTTGATTGAGTTATGGCATATGGTTCATGACAACTGTGCTTCTGCTGTATCATTGCTTAAAAGTTAACTGAAGTGTCTCACATATTTTTATCTCTTTATAGCCCTGTACCTCCATTTGTTATGATTTGTGATTGATTATTGTTTGGAAATGTCCTAAAATATCTTTTCTCTTTCAGTGAAAATAATGGCTCCAGCCTTCACAATGCAGTGCTCTGTGCTGTCAGAGCTGAGTGATAGCCACACCCCTTAGGGCAATTGTCTATGCACATATTTTTATATTACAGGAGAGGGGATATGTCTGACTAGTTTTGTTACTGTCTGCTGATTACTGAGAATGTTTAGTGTTCTGGAAATGTTGTTTCTTTCATCATGTCCTTTCTTAAAGTAAAGACCAGCCTTCATTATTTCCACTTGAGGAAAGTGAGTGTTGTATTGAGAAAAGCAGAAGTGTCTGAATATCTTAAGAAGAAGGCAACACCTAAAGAGTATCTCTACTCTTTTTGCATGCTTGAAATGTGACTCAATTCATACTTCTGAGAAAAGCAGTGAGCCAATCTTACGACCAGCAAATGAGATTTCTAGGGCCATAGGGAATGCTACCAAGTTGCCATACTGCTACATTAAAAGCAGTATTAAACCCCAAAACAAAAATGTATTGTATTTCAGCTTACCGACTCTTAGATGTGGTGGTTACACAGGATTTATATAGCGCAAACAGTTTGCTCAGCGCTTTACAATATAATGGGAGACAATACAGCAACAATACAGTTCAATACAAGAGGGATAGGAGGGGCCTGCTCCTCGGAGCTTACAATCTAGGAGGGAGGGGCTAGTGGTACAAGAGGTAGTAACTGTGGGGGATGGACTGGTAGGAAGAGTAGAAGATTCCATTATTAGCTGACAGCAGCATAGGCTTCCCTGAAGAGATAGGTTTTCAGAGATCGCCTAAACGTGAGCAGAGTTATTAAATGGCTTTATATGTTATTGTTAATGTTTTGAATTTTATTCATTGGGCAACGGGAAGCCAGTGGAGGGATTGGCAGAGAGGGGTGGCTGATACAGAATGGTTAGTAAGGTGGATGAGTCTGGCAGCAGCATTCATGATAGACTGAAGAGGGGATAGCCTGCGATGAGGTAGGCCAATGAGGAGGGAGTTGCTTAGTGGTTTCTGAGGTTAAGAACTGGCATATCTTGGAGATGTTGTG